TGGTCTGGCTGGATACTCTACCTTTCCATTCCTGGCCAGAGTGCAAAAACTGGAATGGTAGGGTATGGCAGTGTTTGAGGATTTGGGTGTGCCAGGTGCTGGTCGAGACACCAAAGCCACTAGAAAATGGGGAACGCACCCTAAAGACGTGGAACCCATCATTTTCTAGTGAATTGGTCTGGCTGGATACCCTACCTTTCCATTTCTGGCCAGGGTGCCAAAAATGGAATGGTTGGAATGGTAGGGTATGGCCCTCGGTATGGCAGTGTTTGAGGATTTGGGTGTAGTGGGAGACGCTGGGGACATCCAACAACACACACTGAGATTGACACAACAAAGTTCTTTAGCCAGTTCCTTGCAGAAGTTGCCGCAATCCTGAAGAGGATGAACAGGCATGCGAGGGCAGGAAGCTAAGGAGAGGAAGAAGAGGAGCGTTGCACGTTGGAATTTACATTGGTTTTTGGGTTATGTTTCTCTTAAACTCTGTCTTGAATCATCATGATTCATCATGCTTACTAGAAAATGAGGCACCCCCACTAGAAAATGAGGATCACCGTGGGATCAAGAAAACAAGGTGATGTCTAGAAAATGACCCTGCCAGCATGCCTATGAGACCTGTGATCCTCAATTTCTAGTGACCTACAGGTCACTAGAAAATGAGGCTCCTGACCCCTTCTCGGTGAGTTTACCTTTTTGAGACTAAAGAATGGCCGTCTTCTATGTACGTTAACGCATCCCATTCTCTAGTCCGAATATCATGGGGGATGGTGCAGATATGTCACTGGCGCAGCGCCTCCCCCTAAATTAAAGAACACAAAGCCACTGCAAGCCAGTCCAAAAGCCAACAGAAGTTACAAGAAGCCGCCCAAAGCCAACCAAAGCCATCATAACCAAATCCACGAGAACAACCAAGAGAAAGCCATTATAAACCAAACACCCTTGCAAGCAAACGTCAGCAAAAGCCACACAAGCCACCAAAAGCCTTAACACAGCCGCCAAAGGTCAAAAGCTATGTTGTACAAGCCACCAACACAAAGCTTAAGCCAATGGAAGCAAAAAAGCCACAGGATCCAAAAGCCGCGGAAGCCACGAGAAAGCTGAATCCAATTAGAAGCCAAAAGCCACAATAGCCACAGAAACCAGGACAAACCACACCAACATACAGTAGCATACTCAGTAGCATATCCCGAAAGAAAGCCATATCCAGCGAAAAGACATCCTTGGCCTCCATAAAGTATCATTGTCCATAATTCATGGAAACTACCCCAGGTTGAATAGGGGCATGGAATGCACTACCATCCTAGTGCTTTGCTAAATAGATCAGCACGCCTTTCACACATAGCATCCAATAGCATTAGCAAGGAACATGTTCCTCCCCTCATGTCATGGAAGATTATAGAAGGATATAGAAGGCATACATTCTCCCATCTGCTAGGGGCTCTTGGTACTCAACTATGGGGCACCACCAAAGGCAAGACCTGTCAAACACCTGTCAAATGTCGCTCACCCGGTCGTCCAACTAGCGCTCCTCAGCGTCCATGCGATACTTCTTGTTGCGGGCCACGTCCAGCTGCAGCAGGTCGATATACTCAGCGACCTGGGCACCAAGGGTCTTTTTTCTAGGGCTCTGAAACATTTGAGAAGCGCACAAGCTTCTTCATCCCTCGAGTTCCAGGTTCATGTCAGCCTCACCAGCCTCTCTCCTGCACCACATTCTGGCACTGAATCAAGGGTACACTGTCCCCCAGGACCCCTACCACCAATGCACCCCGCAAAAAGAAGTGCACCACAATAGCTTTTGCAGGAGATCACGGTCTTCCGGCGCTTCTCCATCGCTCATCACCCTACATTGCAGGAAAAATGTCCCCGCCGGCCTCACCGAAGAAGCGAGCATCCTCTGCGTTGCTGTGGTTCTGCTCTCGTTGGAGAAGCTTCAAAGTCCTCGAAATGGTGAGTTTCCAATGGGCGCTCGCAACACATGTTGGATATTCGGGTACCGATTTGGTGTCCAAAGTGGATGCACCAAAGCACCCGGGGGGATCAAACATGATCAAACCCAAAGTGTTTCTTTTTTGCCTGAGTGAACCGACAACGTGGCAAGGCCGAACCTCCTTCAACATGGGAAAAGTCGTACCCAACAAGAAACACTCACTAGGCCAAACCACGCGGTTTTCCCAGGGCGACGGGTTTTCTTGTTTTGCATTCGGCTGCAAATCCTGGAACCGGACTGAGGACTGAGCCTCTTCCCCACGTCCTGGGGCCCCACCGCCGGTCCCCCAACGGATGCAGCCTGGGATTGGTCCTAGTGCTTCCGAGATTCAATTCCTGGGCCAAAGGGACACAGCGTCCGTCAAAAAACAAGGGAAGCGAGGGAAGCGCACAGCGGGGTTTGTTTCACGACACAGCTGAACTTTCTCGAAAGCTGCAGTGAACTGCGAGCGAATCAATGCTGCGGCAAATCCCATCAAGTAATCAGAACTGGCCGCCCTAGCACTCTTAAGAAATTTAGGCCCTTAAATAGATTATGATATATACTGATATAGCAGTGTCACCCTGTCTTTGAGTGGACCCGACATCTGTGCGGACTTGGGAGGAGGAGGGGGGGCCGTAGTGCTAACTTTCCAAATTGACCAAGGTGTCCTTCATCCTTATTCATCCTTCCAACTGCTATCGGTGTAGACTGTAGCATCTACAGTGCTGTAAGTGGTCTTGCAGAAAGGCAAGCTCCAGGGCCGTGGTTCCGCCACTCCGGCGCTGTCTGCGGAACCCCCGACCGGTCGGACCGCGGGAGTCACGAGTCACACCCGCTGGCGTCCGACGGATGCTTCAACGACAAGCCGAGCGTACTGCGACTGCGACTCCCGGGACAGATCGAGAGATAGCATACAAGGTGTCTTTAAAAGTCTTTACTCAACTCCGTTCAACATCGCTCATTCTGGTGCAATGGGAAGCCCACCACCCAAATGGGATATAGTTAGTATATATTGCTAATCTTGCGGCTGCACTTCTTCCATTGAAAACGACCACCTGGGATGAAATCACCGCTAGCTAGTTTCTGGGCCGCTCAGTTTGCAACCCAACAAGTTTGAACGGCGGCATGCTCACGGCGGTGCCACATGTTCCCCGCATGTCCTATTGTATGTGCAACAAGCACACCAACAAAAAGGCACTATGAACCACCCCTAGAAGTCCAAAGGCTAGATGTTGCCCCGTTGAAGAAGAGGAGGTTCCTTTTGGGGTTCTCATGGGTTGTATGATTTATAAACCTGGACCTCCAACAGGTCACCACCGTCGCGACTTGTCTACAGAAGCCTCCATGTCGGAGACCTGTAGAGTCGGGTGCTGGACGACCATTCTTTCGATATGGTCTCGGGTTCCCAGTGCTCTTCGGACTGAAGCCCCCCCCCGTCCATCAACGGGTCCGCGCTGTGCGGTGGAACACGGCTTCTGAACCGGCCTCATCATGCACCGGCGGCTGCACCTCGAAACACCCCGGCGTGGTCGTCAGTGACCAAACACCGTTTGGCCGCCAGGCTTGAGTTCCTTTCGTTTCGAGTGGTTGGTACATGATTGGCACAACAACAGCACCAAGCTAGGACACACTTAGGACAAAAACGTCAACAAACCGTTTGCATCGCTGGTTTTGCTTTTTTGAGAGCAACTCTCTCCCGGTTTTCGGGGGCATGCCCACCCAGACCCACCTGACAAGGATACAATACAGAAATGGCCAGTTCTAGAGCTCGAGAACAATTATCAACATGCAGCCCTACAAGTCAAAGACCTCATTTTACTGGAGATGGTCGTGCAAAACCAATACTTAAAGAGGTAAAAGACAAGGTTTTACTGGGTTTTTGGACTTGTAGGGCAGCCTGTTCCAGAGCCTTTAAGGAGTGTCCACTGATGGCCCCTTAGGGCTTTACACCACCTCTTAGGAGGCTCTGCTTTACGTCTTTTTTGTGACCTGGTCAAGTTCTACCACGTGGATCGGATCCCGGAAACGGGCACGCTTACCACTGCAGCCTCCATTGGGACCTACCAGCACCACGGAGCACGGAGTTCGGGTGGTCTCTCGCTCGTGGTCTCGCGTCCGAGGTGTTGTGTCATATGGTTGTTCATCGCTTTTTGCCTCCATGAACCATACATTCCTCGGTGCTGGTACACGTAATATACAGTACTTATAGAGAGAGAGAGGTCGACATATAGTATAGTATAACATCGGGGTGGTTTGAGGGGTCCACATGTAGGTCTATATAATACATTCTCCAAATCAAAGGCCTCGTTTTACTGGGCTCTGTTTTCTGCAGAACTGATAGCAAAATTCGACCTCCAAAAACTTTTCGTGGAAATGGTGGAAAGCCCGACTTTACTCCGTAAAGGACGTCTTTTACTTTGGCAACTATAGGAAATAAAAGTCGTCTTTAACTTAGTGAAAGACGTCTTTTACTTGGCAAATGGTAAAAGTAAAAGACGTCTTTGACTTTATGCACAAATGGTGCGCATATACATGGCACGATGATTGTGGTTCTACTTTCCGTTTCGCGCGAACATCGCACAAATAAAATAATTGTGGCAACAAACGCATGCATATCATATGAGTGCCGCCCAGGCTGCTAGATTTTTTTTATATGAAGCAAGGTCGATGCGTTACAATACAGGCAACGCATGTGGTTGAAATTGGCCGTTTCTGGCCCGGGCATGGGACCGTGACTCTCGCGTGACTCCCACCTAAACCACGAATTTTTTGACGTCCAGTCCTTTACTAAGTAAAGGACGTCAAAAACTTCGCCATGGACATCATTGGGCGTGACTCTAGCGTGATTCTATAGCACGGGACCTGCAAGCTTCTAATGCGATTTGACGATGAACTGTCATCGGCTTGAACAATGCACGCGTGCAATTGCAAGCAGCAAACATGGCTCCCACGTAGCCACGTATATCATGGCAATGTAACTGGTCAATTGAGCAAACAACGTGCGCAAAAAAAAATACACCAAGAAAAGATTGGCACGCGTGGACTTGCGTAAGGCATGGCGCCGCTAAAAGTGAGCGTATGGGCACATATGTATGTACAAAGACCATCGAACCCAAAAGAATGTTCCATGGAAATGACCTTGATGCCCAAAGAAATTTTTGTGGAAGTGGTGACCTTAACGCCCAAAGAACCTTCCGTGGAAATGGTGACCTGAAAGTTTTTGAAGGTCAAAGAAAATGTGACCTCGTAAAACTGGGTCGTTTACAGCAGGACCTCGTAAAACTGGTCCTTTTGAGGTGGAGGGACATGTATATATCTACAAAATTCTACAAAATATAATATAATATCGCTTTTGGACTGTAATGGGCATTGTCAAATCATTGAGCATCCTTGAGCTTTGATAGGTCTACAATTTATACCATCCCCTTCCCAATGGTCTGCCGCAATCCGTCCAATCGGAAAAGAAAACAAAGCGGAGCACGAAATGGTACCAAACACCCACTACATCAGGAGGGGCGTGTGCCCACGACATCCGACTATGGAGGGGCTGAAAGGATTCTGGAGCACCAGAAGCGAACTTCCATTATGGAGGGGTACTATACGCAAAACTTCCATAGTGGAAGTACTAATATATATCCTAAGAACTACACCCGGAATAGATCTGAATAGTACTACCAAACATTCCACCCAGTTCGCGATCCGCCTTCGCAGGGGTCGCCGCCGGAAGGTTGCTCGTGGCCGGGCCCTCCTTGGGGCTCGGCGACGGCGCTGCCTGCCGCTGTGGCTCGGTGGAAGTGACCCTCCAACGAATTCGACCATCACTGAGATAATAGAATATGAATGATACGAATTCCTTCACCAATGTCATCCTATTATTCTTTCCGGGATGTTCGGACGTTCCTAATATTCTATCTACTCGCTCCTCAGGGTCACTATAGATTATCATCCGCGGACGGACGCCCCGCGGGCCAATTTTGGTTAATTACTGCGCAAGATTACGGCTGGCCAGCACACGCAAACCCTCCAGCAACCCCAAATGACATCCAATGAAAAGGGCGCCCAGCACTGCCCACTACTCCCATAACAAGCACCCGCCGCCTCCGATGGCACGTTCATGTTCACCGAGCGGGCCTGGGTCCGTGGTCAGCTTCGGAGGCTTCCCGTGTGGGGCGAAAGAGGTGACCGTCGGGGAACTCGTGCGAGAACAAATCCACCCAGGTTTGAGCGCGGTGAGTAGCCGGTAGGTCAGGTGGTTCAGTAGAAACCCTCCCAGGTGAGCACTGGTGGTTTCCGAATTCATCTGCGTGGCCATGCATAGGACGTGAAGAAAAGGGGGCCGAGGGGCTTTAAGTCTGTTTCAAGATCTCACGTCATCTCAAGTGTCACACCCGCGGGTTCCTGCGGAGCACATCCCCGAATGGTACAGAATGGTGCTACATGACTTTCCCAACAACAACAACAACAACAACAATAACTATACAAGAAGAACAACAAGAACAACAACAAGAACATCCCTCTCTCACTGACCACCTTCTTATGGCCCAGCGTCCGTGCTTCCAAAGCCAGGTGAGGCTGGTGTGGTACTCCGCCCCGGCGAGACGCCCGGCGAGGCGGGCGAAGTGGGCGAGGGCGACGCGGCCGCAGCTCCGGCCGCGGTCGGGTCCTCACACGAGTCTCCTTCTGAATGTCTGGTGAAGCAAACATAACGATGTGCAATGAACTGCGGTGGCACGCGGTGTATTCGGAGAAAAAAGGGCAATATTTGGAAGCGTGTCCCGTCTGTTCATGCAAAAGCTGCAAGTAAGATACCTTTCACACTGTCACACGAGTCTCCTCCATATGGTTTGGGAGTGCATGGTCATTACGCCCATGTTCTGCAAAAACCTGAAGATGTGAGGGGCTTTGTTGCCGTTGAAAAGCAACCCTTTGAGACGCATCCCTGCTCTCCGCATCACATTTGATCGCGCGCGGGTTCGCATCGACGGTACCGGTTCGCCTGTGTGGTCATACCGCGCTCTTGCCGGAAGGTGCTTGCCTTGGACGCATCGAGGTGTTGAAGTGCGCGCGCTTTTTGACCGTGTGAAGCACATGCGCAAAGCTTTGGACCATGCCAACCTTGAACCCATGAACTTCTGGTCTCGGTGCTCAACCAAAAACTCCATGCGCTGAACCTTGAGCTCTGAAACCTGCAGGTCTCCAGTTTCCCTCCACCCATCGACTTCCACCGGCTCATTGGTTTCCAAAATTGCGACGATCCGACCCCTTTTGGAGGGTGCGCTGTGATCCACATCCCTCTCAAACATGAGGCACAATTCGGTGAAACGTTCCGGAATGTTCCCCAGGCCCTTCCACGCACGAGTCCAGGCCAGTCATAGGACACTTCATAGCACACATGTTTGGAGCCTTTCCGCCCTAGCAGGCCCTAGCTGTTTTGCAGTGCTCTGCCTTGCTGGGGGGCAGGGAATATGATGCTCAGCTGCTCCAGCTTTCTCCAAAGCATGCAGAAACGAGGAAACTCTTGCTTGTCATTTTTTGATTTCTCTACTCTCCCCCAAATCTAACATGGCAAAGGAACATCTTCCAAACCTTCCTGACATAGGCTATAGGAGCCTTCCCCCATCTGGTTCATCCTTTTTCGACCACCCGGGCCACCGTTTTCTCCCAAGTCCTTCCTCAGCCTTGAGACTCCCATGGGTGCCGTCTGCCGGTTTCGCCGCAGGATGAATGCTATGGCGTGAAGGGTATCCTGCCGATCCGTCGCGTATCCGTCCGCGCCGCAGAGACTCCGTGCACCGGCAGGAGCTGGAAATCTGTCATTGGCTAGGTTTAACGTCAGGTGCACTTCCTGAACAGGATCACGTGAACACACCATGTGCTCCTCGGCAATGCGATTGCCGCTCAGCTGGCAGTCGATGAGAGAATGGTTGGCCTGCGACTCGGCGCGCGCCGTTCTGCGTCAGAACCGCGGGACGCCATGAGACGCTGGCACGGCTCCAAGCCTTAAGGGAACCCAATGATTAAAAGAACCAAACACTGCCTGAAACGATCATTGAAGCGGAACCATGTGGAACATAGGGCCCCTGCCAAGATCGTGTTCCACCAAACATGGGGGTCGTCTTTCCACGGAGTCTCTGGGTTGCCAGGTCTCGGGGGGACGAGGACGGTGGAAACATCGAATTCCGAAAGCAAAGCGCCCGTGCAGGACCTGAAGTCGAAGTGTCGCATGGAGGTGTCGACCGAGCACGACCCGGGAAACCACCGTCAATGCGGTGCAAAGGCGTGCGAAGGGGCACGTGCGGGGGCACAGGAACGTGGAGGACCTGAAGGCCATGACAAATCGACATGCCTACAATCAATCAAGTGTAGACCTACCGGCAAAAGAGTTGGCACTGCCATTAAGATCATGAAGTGAGGATGCATCATCTGTCTATCCCAGCCTATCCCTCTACTGAACTAGGTCTGGTTGAATTCTGCAGCGGATAGGATTAGAGCCGATGGCGCCCGGTGGTTCGCGCCTGCATACCATCTAAGATAGCTTTTCCACCTTCTATGCCCAGATCATTCCAGCTGAGGTCCAAGTGGGTCACAGTGCCTAGGCAAAGGCATGCAAAGGCTAGAAGCTGCATGCTTCCAGGACATGTAGGACTTGAACCCTTGATTCCAGTGGTCATGAAGCTACGATGTGTCCGAGTTTTGTGGGTGGTTCTTCCATGCCGTGGTCTGGCATGCGAGTCCGGCTTCCGGCTCATGAGGGCACACCACTTCTCCTGTCCTACGCCTCAAACCCGGAACCGCAGGGGCGACCATGCGGCACCTGTTGTGTCGCCCACGGGCCGAGCATCTGTTGTGTCGCAGCATGTCTCCCAGGAAGGCACCGCAGTCTGCGCCGATCTTGTTGTTCCGCAGGTCCACATGTGTGATCGACTCGTTGTCCTACCCGCCGGTCGGTGCCCCGGACGAACTCTGGTAGATAATGAGTGAAAACAGTTTCGATATGTTTCGATCATCCTAGTCCTTAGCTAATTACTAGTAGCTTCATGTAGCTTCTTGTTACGTTCGTAGCGATGGCCTCCAATCTACTTGCGATGGCCTATGGCCGCCTATGGCCTCCACCCAATAGCGCCCTTGGTACACTAGAAGCCCACCTTGAGAACGTCACACAAAGCTTGAACACCTCGGGGATGGCTACCGATCTGGTTCCACTTGAAGCAGACCTCGGCCAGGATTCGAAACTGTCTTTCCGTGTCCACCACCGGTGCAATTGGATTGCTTTGCACGGGCCCTGTAGAAGAACCACGAACCGAACCAAGATTACCACAGAATCCACAGAAGCGCTCTTCTAGGTCCACAGATGTCCACAGGCATGCCGCATGCCGGGATAATCTAAGAGTACGACTACATAGCGCTACCATCGGTCTTCCTATATCTTCCGACCACCCAGCCACCCTGCTGGATAAATCAACCTGAAGCTTCTCGCCCAGTGGCACTGGTCATATTGGATCCACCTGGCAGTGGAAAACACGTGCCTCTCTCTCTCTCTCTCGCTGCGAAGATCGCAAGAGCACGCGTGGGTCTTGGGATGTTGGAGAAACCACTTCCAACGGAGCTGCCTTTCGAAGCTCGAATGCGACGACAGAGACGACTGCCTTTCGCGGGTGCTACGTCAGGACGAGGCTTAGCAAACACAAACTCTTGACGTGGCTTAGGTTGACCAGTTACGCCACTTGTGGCATACAAAACCCCGGACCTCTGAGCTCCTCCTTGGACCCCTGGTTGGACCTCTGAGCTGTGTCTGACCATTGGGGTCGCCCTCAGTTCCTTCGCCCGGCACCGCCGACCGAAGAACTGCCCCGAGACCCAGCGAAACGGGCTGCGGCTGCAGGGCAAGCAGAAACACACCCCACGCGATCGCTACTGCATCACCTGTTCTCGCCTCCTCTCGTCTGGAAATGCCATTCTGATGGATCCATCTCTGTCAGAGTACATCTTTCTCCTCCCTCCCTCTTCCTCTCTCCGGGATCTTCTACAATCACTAAACAGGCGCCCATCAATGGTCCCCATCCAAAAGCCCGTGGCGCCTTTTCGGGAAACAACCCTTACTTTCAAGTCAACTTCTTCATTTTTTCACTTCGAGCTCCCGAAGTGAAGATGTGGGGGGAAGCTGCCTTAATGTAGACTCTTGATCAATACACCCCGAGTTGTATTGGACATCCTATGTCCTCAAGAGCCTCATGGAGGACCTCCAGGGACTTCCCACCTCCCCCAGCGATTTACACCTCCTCGCCAGGTCAGCTCAGACCACGAAAACGACTCGTTAACAGCGTTTGGGCGGTCGCACCTGACCGCAGGCCGTGTGCCAGTACGACCAGCCCATCGGCACCTGGGATCGCATTGTTGGACGGTGGGTCACCGCGTCGACCGTGGGGAAGACCCAGACACTTTCGGATGAAACACCACCCTGGTGAACGCCGCCCTGGAATCGGGCAGACCAGATCCGGATGTCTCGAGCATGAACCAAAGAGACTGACGTGACTTGGGAGATTTTCCATGTGAATATCTTTGCCCAAAGCATCGGGAATGTGACCTAAAGCCTGGCACTGGTGTGGAGAACATGTTGCTTAGATCGGGATTTGAGGGGATGATAACAACCAGCGGTCCACTATACAAAGTTCAGCAAAGTTCTATACATTCAATATCATTCAATTCTCATGAAATCTCTGCACTTCACCTGCAGCAACGAAAGGAGGGAAGCTGGAAAACAAAAGCAACCATGGACCCCAAACAAGCGCCGGTCGACCCAAACAGCACCGGATGAAGGATCAGCCTTTTCCAGACCAAGCCACGGATGTTGTTCCCTCGCAGGTCTAAAGTTCTGAGCATCACCTCATCTTCGAGTCGTGCCGACCAGTCTAGACGCATGAAACGAGCCGACGCGAGGAAGTCGCCGCGACATCGGCGGTCCGCGTGGCCAGGTGAAGCGATGTTGGAAGGGTTCGAGAAGATTAAGTCATGATCTAATTACATTGGTAATCTGCAATGTCTTCAGACCCGACCACAGCAACTACTTGTGCGCCAAAAATGATCAAAGCAAAAACATTACAAACATTTACAGAATTTGCATGTGCCTCCGCGCAGGTCAAAAGGCCGCACTGTGCAATCTGCGCATCTTTGGTGCAATGAACTCTTATCATTCTGCACTGCCACAAACTCAGCTGTCCACGTTCTCGCGCATGTAACGGGCGATGGCTGTGCAGCCATCATCACCCACGGAGGCATAAGCCAAGGATAAGGCAGCCGAGTCCTGCGCCATGGAGAATCCACCCGGTGCCGTGGATTGCAAAATGGTCTGAGCTCAAAAATGTCCCGCCCTAAGAGCTATATAAGGCTATATAGATAGTTGTTCTTTTCTTTGCCTTACATAAAGCATATCAAAGACCATGGGTCACGGGCAACAGCAAATTTCCTTTGGCCACGAACTGGACATGGCCCATCAATGTAAGGAGCTATAAGGAGCTCTACATGAAATGTGCGGCACAATTATGCACAATGTCAGTGTGATATATCGCATGGTTGCGAGCCAACACCTGGCACCTGGACACATTAACATACATTAATCAAACATCGATTGCAATGGTGCCCCACGACCTGTTGATGGGTGCCACAGCAGGTTGCCCCTTTCTCATGCGATTTCACCAGCAGAACTGCCGGCACCCCAGCAAGAGACACCCACTGTTGAGCTCACCTGGCACCATCCAAACGCTGCCGGCAATTGCAGCCTTCAGACTAGAACAAAAATTCTATTGCATAACCCATCATAACCCCCACAACCAGTCGGGTTTATTCACTGACTGGAATCCCATCTCTAGCTCATCTACCTCGCAGCTCGACACAGAACCCACGTCACTCCTTGGAGGCATCCAGGTGCGCCAGCAGCGAGGGCGCCGGCATGGCCCCCGCCCGGTCCGCGTCGACGAGGCTTGGCGTCGCGCGGTTCGGGGTTCGCGGCTCGGCGCGGCGCGGAACGCAGCTTCCGCCGGGGGTCTTCCGCCGAGGGACGGGTCGAAAGCACCGAACTCGGGTGGATGAGCAGGTGAGAAAAAACCACCAAAACGGCCCTCTTTCAGTTGGGATCTTGGATTGCAGGCCTACTTCGTTTTGCCCCTGCCCCCACCATGCTAGAAAGCATTCCTGTTGCAAAAGCATGCACAAGCAGGGGATGGTTTGCAGCCATGCCACGACTCAATGATTCCTGACTCTTGCAGTAGGGCCTTGGGTGTCTTTTCAATACCACTGCAACGGTAGACACAGTAAACCAAACAACTCAGGCACCGGGCACATGATGTTGGGCTGTGTTCTTTTGAGCAGGAGGTCGTTTAAAAGCTTACGCATTGAGGTTCAAAATGTCCAGCTCATTCATTGCTGTCATTGCTGCAAGGTGTTGGCGATTGTTGGCGCCAAGATGTTCGGGTTCTGTGTCTTGGGTTTCTGACACCCATTCCCCGCCCTCCAACAAACATGGAAAATCGAAGTCACGTTGGCCAGCAGGTGTCTACTCGGTTTCCCTCTCGCTCATCTACAAACCAGATCTCTCTTCCACTTCCATATATTTGTTGGAGAGAGCCATTTCCACTCGACGTTTCTTGCTTCACCTTGCTCCAAAAAGATGGTCTTCCGGCAGCTTGTGTCACACAGGCGCCGAAGCCGGAGCCAAACACCGCGTTTCTTGGAAACGGGTGGCACGGGTTCGCTGGAGTTCACCCCAGAACTCTGCAGAGCCCAAGTCAGGCCCAGTCTAACATAAGCGGTACCGGTGTGCCACGGCGTGAGCATCATCCTGCGTGTGCCACGGCTGCGAAGAACAGGTCGAAATACTGAGGGCCCCCCGGGCCCCCGGTTCAGGTATAGTATGGTACAGTATGTTGGAAGATATCAAGGCCATTAATCAAGTGGAAGATGTGATGTACGACCAAATGGCAAGCCGATATCAAATGGAAGAAACACCCAAAAGGTGTGCAACATCAACAAGTTTCTAGCCTGCTCCGTCACCATGAAAACAATCGACCGCAACAGCGGACAAGGCCTGTTTTGCCACATAGGGCAAGGGCCCAATGCCCTCGAAAGAACACGGTAAGACAGTTCAAATCCTGTTGCAAAGCCCGGGGCGGTGGTGTTTCCAGGAGGGTGTGGAACTTTCAAAAGGGAAAACAACAGGAGAAGCCAGCCCCAGGCCTTTCACAGCATGTCTTCAATTTCATTCGAAGAAGGTCTTCCTGCTTTTTGGTTTGTTTATCCCTGTCCCTTTCTCCGTTCTGCTTGGTTTCTTTCCACTCATACTTCTTTTCTGGTGCTATGTTGTTGTTGTTCTCTTTCCCCTCTTCTTTTACAAAGAAAACCAACTGCAGCCATTCAAATGGAAGAAACTCGTCGGCTTCTAACATGGTTTTGGGTGTTTCTTCCATTTGATCTGGGCTCCTGCCACTTGCAGACCCCAAATCAAATGGGAGAATATACTTTTATTCCCGGAGTTTCTTCCAAAATACTGGCCTGCACTATAGGTGAACCTAGGTGAATGTTGGTGCATGTTTCGTTCGCCTGTTCGGGTTTGGAGTCTCCATCGGATGCTCTAACTGGATGCGGAAGCCGCACGCAGAACAATTGTCACGCAATTAAGGACGTTTTTCATTTGTGCTTTGAGGCTTTGTGCTTGTTTGGATCTCCTCCCTCGTCTCTCTCTCTCTCTCTCTCTCTGTGGTAGGCATGACTCGTTCCGGAGTCGTCGGCAGGAGAGACGCCCACTGCAACCTCCCCAATTGGCCGGAGACCAAGGGGTGCAAAACAGAACTCCGGCCTTTGGGCGTTTTTACCTCTCTTTCCCACAGGCCCTCCCATCGGCAATCCCATTTTTCTGCATGTTTCATGGTATGATCATATGATCTATGACAGGCCGCCCAGTCTCTCTCACCCTCACCATCCAGCCCATCCAGCTCAGTCTCAGTCCCTGTCTCTCTCCGCCTCTGACATCCTCTCTCCACCGACTTCCCGGCCCTCCTTGCAAATCCAGCACGGAGGACCGCCGCCGCACCACCCTGGGCGCGGGTGGTGGACACTCCCGCGAGCGAGGCCAAGCACGAGGAGGGCACGAGGAGCCGCTGGTCACAGGTCCACCCGATCAGGGACAAAAGCGATCCTCAAAGAGGTGGTCGGACCCATTGGTCACTGAGTGGTCAGGTGGGTTTTCCTAGACCTTCCCATGATGACCGCGGTCGTCTAGGGCTTTCGGTCCGCGGTCGTCTTTGCCGAGGCGCTGCACGTGTCCGAATTCCACGGGGCAGTGGCGAATGCGCATGGTGCGGGTGTCCTGGCCGACGGGTCGGTTTTTCTGGGAGGCCGAAGACCACACAAGGCCTGACTCAGCGGACAGGTTTGAGTAGACATATCTCGAACTCATGCCCCTTTTTCCACCCAAGGGTCAGAAAATCACCGGTGTTCTCTGGTTGTGGGTCATCATGGGTCATCCAAGTGGAGGGCAAGATGCCGGCGTCTGCATCCAACACCTGCCGATTCCGAAGACCAAAAAGCGAGGAAGTGGACCTGACAGAGCTCGGTCGCTGGGCTCGGCCCATGACATCCACGAGAACCCACCGCATGACCCTCCCGTCCAGGAAGCAAAGCTCCCCTGACTTGCTTCGAGCCACGGTCCTTGGCTCGAGTGATGCAGAGTGTGGATGGAACATGATGGAACAATATATGCTGCTGATGTGCTTCCCCTCAACCACAGAATCCACAGACTGGAAAACATTGGAAAACTGGCTCGCAAAGTAAAAGAGAGCAGGCTTCCTCTAGAACCTGAGTGACCTCTATTTTGGATCGCCAACCACCCAAAACATGGCCTCTTTCGATCAAAACGGGGGTCATGTCATGTCTCTAGGTATCAAAGAAGCGCCTGAAACCGGCCTCTCTGGACCATGCTTCACACCTTCACGTTTCGACCGTGGACCGAAAGCGTCGCTGACGCTCCGCTCCGTGCCACGATCCGGCGACGGATCCGGCGTCCCAAAATTGGGGAGAACAGCTTTGAAGAGAGGTGTCACCTGCCAGGTATTGCCAATTGCATGTACACAACTGGCATCCCCTTCCCCAGCCTCCGCGCCGTGTTCACGAAACCTGGAGCGCCTCCGACTCGGCCCGCCGAGCCGCTGGATCTCACTCTCAGGTCCTTGGCCGGTCCGTGCGACCGGTGGAGTGGAGAGAAGAAGAAACGAAGAACACGGGACGGGACGGGGAGAATTCGCCCCCATCCTCATGGTTCTGGAAGCACTCGCCCTAAGGAGGCATGGCATCTGAATGCCAAATCACTGGTACCAATCTGTGTATCCATTGTGGCGATGGACAGTTCACCTGCTGAAGCCTTTTTCGGACTTTGTCCAAATCCTACTCTATATAGGCAAAGAAATATATATCCGCTCCAAAACACTGGATTTTTTTTAACTACTGAAGCGGAAATGAAGCATGCAGTAGTACTGCGTCTCACGTTTCTGTACATCTCAACCCCCGGACCGTTCGTTTGCACCATGGACCGTTCGTTTGGAGCTCAAACCTCGCGTTGAGCCTGCAACTTGCAAAACAAGGCGGACAAGAATGGATCTCCCTTGAGACTTCTTCCAGGTCTGGCTTCATGATGACCATAAAATGGTGATTGGCTAACGGGGATGTTCATAGGCATAGATGCTGCCACGTCTTTTGCAGCCTGGCTGGGACGGAATACCTCGGCAAGCGCAGCACATCCAAATGCGAGGCTCCAAACCACCGATCCTCCTCCACTCGCTCTTGGCTTCTGCCATGCGCATGGCCGGCGTGGCGGTCCTGGCGGATCCCGACGCCGGGGCCGCATGTTAAGTGGAGTCCCATGAACTTTCGTCCAGATTCAGAAAACGAACCCCCCTTGGATAAGAGACCTGCCTCTATGGAGAGCGTTTCTGTCTCTTGTGGGGGACGTTTGCTGGTCGCACCCTCCGTCCGACTGGTCGCTCGCCGTACGTCTGACTGGTCGCACCGAAGGATGTGACACTAATGTGACACTCAAAAGCAAAGGACGTCACCACAAGTTCACCCAAAAAAAAAGGTGTAGCGCTGGGGTCGCAACTTGAGTGCCTGCTACTCATCGCATGGCGGATCCTTGACACGGATCCTTGTTTCAGCTCCCGAACGGAGTTGGGACGAAGGATCTTTCCGCAGTTCGCATTCCCGAAATCCGCCAAGCCACTTGAACCACTTCTACTCACGAAGCCAAGCCTGTCTCTGCCTCTGCCCTTGACAGGCCTTAGGGTACCCCTGTCCCAAGTCCTTGATCTCGGGTAGGAAGCCCATGGCCCTTGACAAGGTGGCCTGCCTCACGTGCGTAAGACCGGCAGAGCACCCGGGCACCATGAAAGAGATGAAGCTGATAAACATGCTCCAAAGGAGATACCACTATATATTGCAGAGATAGAAGAAGCCCTAACTTCAAGCAATCTTCAAGTACAGTGTTTGGGGAAGCATTGCAAAACTGCAGCAACTCTGGACTCGAATAGGCATCCAAAGTGTCTGACGTGGGCCAAATATCTCCACCCACTCCTTGAATGGACAGGCCGAGGGTGGCACTTCAGTTTGTCCGACATGCCTGACATGCCCATCCGGTAGTCTCGCCTCGGCTGTGACCAAAACTCGTCTCACTTCGGTGATTCGAAGACTTCACATGTTGGACCAACAGCACATACATGTAAAGGACAAAAGACTGACTGGCGCTTAGTAGAAAAAAAAGGGACTAAGCCCCAATAGAGATTCCATGAGATTCCATTCGATCCACCTATCTACTAAGCACAAGTCAAACAAGGGTTAAATAGGATCATATTGGATCCATGATGACATGCGCGAGGTTTCTTCCCATCTTTCACCCTTGGGCCGCAGGCAACACAAATGACATCGGCCCAACCCGCGTTGCCTTGCATTCCACCGAGTCCATTTCGAGAGTTGGCTTCGCACCAGCAAAGACTGCCTGAAATCTAAGTACCACAAACCTGTTGGAACCGCACCGAGCATTCCTTTCACGTCTGGAAATGCGCCGAACATTGTTGAGCAGAGCCTTCCTCCCATCCTTTGGTCCCTTGTTCTTTGCTTTTCTCTTCTCCCTTGTTCTTTTCCTTTTTCCTTCATTCATTCCTGTTGATATGTTGTTTCTTTCGTTTCTTTCAGAAAATCTGTGCGGCTAAAAGCATGAAAACACCATAAGGTCACAACTGAGGTTGTTTTCTTACTGAGCCAGCTATAGCTCACCACGACACATCGCCCTGGCCCCACCATGGAGAGCCAAACCCAGCCTGCCCTTCTCATCCATCTCCGGGCTGGTTTGCTCAGTTTACATCGTATCCTACCAAAAGGCCACTGCACCACCGCATGAACCTTAAGACCTCCTCGCTGCTTTCACCACTGGCCCGGACCCTGGGCCCGGAAGCTCGCGCGCGAGACCGCTGGGGCCCATCGCCCACGCGAGGCACGGAAGCTTTCCACATCGCCTGGCTCCGTGGACCGGTGGTCGCGCCCCACGGCAAGGGCCCGGTCTCACCGCGACGGCCGATTCGGGGCGATGGCCCGGGCTGGCCGGAAGAAGCTTCGGCTCCCAAGGCGCGCGGCTCAAGCGGGTGAGAGGAAAGCCCGTGGTGAAACGTCTGGGCCTCACCCACGGCCAGCATTTTGGACAAGGGAAGAGCTATGAGTTCTATGGAGTTGTTCTGCCAAGTCCAAATGAAAAATAACGAGGGATGGCTATAATTACTACATGCTCACAAGTTATTGTTGAGATTTGTGGTGTGACTGGTCCTGTTTTGCTGTCTGGGGATTGTGATTGGCAACTGCAAAAGAAGTCCTAGAAATCCTGACCCTGTTATGCGGATATAAATATAATAAATATGCGTGCTTCTTGAACCATACGCACATCTCCCTGAAACTACATGTAGTGAAGCAGGACAAAGATGACGTGCAATGAATGCTGGCTGTGTTTATGCCTTCAGGCTTCTCAAGACTGCTCATGAACCACATGAAAATGCCTCACCATCTGAAACCACAAAGAAATAGGGGAGTTCACCAGCAGCGTCATCTTCCTGCCCATTTCCGACCGGGCGGAAAGGCGGCCCGGGCGTCCTGACACCTGTGACAAGTCGCGTGTGTGTCGCGAGTGTCGCATCTGTCGACCGCCCTCAAGCCTGTGTCCAGCGCCAAGAAGTTATTCAAGGGTAAGGTAAGGCTGCTGGGTAAAAGCCTCGGTGCAAACACGACTTCCTGGGTCAAAGGGGTCAGAAGGATGGGTCAGAACACGACAGGAAACGAATCGGCCACTGGAAACTGGAAACTGCCCAAAGAGATGGAAGTGGTGCTCTTCTTTGCTTGCCTGAACGGGGAACAGGAGGACCCATACTATTATACGCCCTTCAAAGGTGTAGAGTCTCCATTAGGGTCCACCAGTGCAGGAGCATCATCTTGGGCAATGAGTGGGCAGCTCCCAACACCCCCTACAACCCTAAGGATCTTCAGGGCGATCCAAAGGTCGCAAAACACCCAACGCCACGGGGAGCGAGCAACAACTACATAACTACACTCCGTTTGTGGTGGTGATGTACATTGATGAGCCAGCCGCTTCGCACCTAAAACTGGCGAAACACCCAACCTCGCGCCATGAACACAAACGCGCGGAAACAACACCAGCCGGAAAAGGACACCCCCCAAAACGAGGCGAGTTTGGTCCATCCCCTGCCGCTTCGGTCTGGACTGGAGAGCAAACAAGGAAGAAGCTTTCATGTCGTTGCTCTTCGTGCTCAGAAGCTCAAACTTGAAGGGGCTTGGGGTGAGGTTTTTTGGGGAGAAGGCGTCGGGTGCCGGGACGGCACATGTCGACGTGTCGGCCTGGGGGGGATTTCTCAGTAACTTCATTCTCGCCAGAGAACTTGGAGGGGTGGATGGCCCAGAACATCCCTTTGCCACCGAGAGAGGGCTCTCCTCATGTCCAACTGCGTTGGCCCAAGTAAGTGCGCCAATTTGGCCCCCCAACTGCTTCATGCCGTTGCAGTTCTTCGGGAAGTCCGGATCCTGGAACGTCCGTGGCCGGTGATCGCGGCGGCCGGACCCCATCGCGATCGGGTCCGGACACCCGGGCCTGTCGGAGCCGGAGGTCTTGGGAAGGTTGGCTCTTTAAAGAGTTGGATGGCACAACCTCTTCATGTAATGATCTTGATTCATGCCCCCCCCCCATATGAAAAAAGGTTCTTCAATCAAAAATGGGGAGGGTTTATCTACCTCAAGAGTCGACATTATGGAAGTTCTATTCATCAAGAGTCTATATTACGGCATATTACGGCCATGGTAATGTAAACGAATTAGTTTTCTTGGAGCTTTGGACATGTTTCCGACTGTTGGCAACAAAGGGTCGTCAGGTCCGCGGGCCGGACCTGGGTGGTGGTGCAAAGATCAAGGGGTAAATGGCTTGAGCGCAACCTGCGTTCCATCTTCAACTCATCCTTACCAGCTCCTAGTAGCTCATCTTTTGCAGAACTCGGGGTGAGGCTTCAAAATGCGTATATACGGTATAGGTGGTGCCACATTGCGGTCCTCGTGCCAACACCAAAGATCCAGAATTGTGCAAGGTGCAAGGAATGAGTTCAGCCCAACAAACCCATCCGGTGGATTCCACGAACCCTAAACGATTAGGATTGCAAGTAGCGGCTGGTACCCCAAACCATCCATGCTATGAAATAGTTAGGCTACACTATGCTACACCGCTGCTACACCTGATTCTATACATCGATGGCCTGGGATGCCTCGAGAATGCGCATGAACCCACGGCCTCACAAATGCCCATGATCTTCTCAGACCTGGCGCGCGCGGCCTGGTCCCCACACCACCGCGCGGTCTTGGTGCCCCGAACCATGCCGTTGCAATGCCGTTTCCAGCCGATCTCGCGCTCGTGGATCTTCATCTCCTGGCGGAGAAGAAGGACGACTCAGAGCTGAGGCGGTTTGCTCAAAACTGCAAAGCAGTTGACATGTTGGGATATATACACTCTGAGAACACATCACATGGAAGTGGAAAACCCCTTGTTGGTAGAGGAAAGTAGTCTTCCAAGGGACCATACCATCCACTTCCATGTTAGTGACTCAGAGGGTATCAGTTGACAAGATTGAGTGTTCAACACACATCATTGAACATATACGTCCGCCACGCGCGGTGCAGGCTCATCATGGCTCATTCAATCTGTGTACTGCGCCATGTGTGCAGGCTTCGATGCCCTCGTATCAACCCAAATCCGAATGTGATCCTCTCTCTCTGCAACCTTGTTGCCCAAAAGAACATCCATCCATGATCCCACTCATCCACGGATTCTCCTTCACCCCTTGGTGAAACAGTTGCTCCATATGTGGCCCCACCACAGCTTCTCGCCCACACGCTGCCGCTGAAGGGTCGGCCGATTGGCTTAGAGTCTTAGAGAGACCGGTCCTTCCGCTGCTGGGCAGCGCCCTTCTTCCAGGCTTGGAAGAACTTCTTCGTATCGCCACGCCGGCCTGTCTTCTTCTTCCAGGCAGCGCTTGGTATGCATGGGTGATCTTGGCACTGGAGATCGGTATATAACTATGGGTGTACAGCTTTATATTACACAGGTATAAGTACAATACCTCAAGGGAACTAGGGTGATGTGTAAAATGTGGGTACTTTGCCAGGACCTTGCTGCAAATATATCCTGGTCTCATCTAGATCCCTTCTTTCCTGGGTTCTGGACGCTCATCTTGCATCTGTATCTTTGAACTGCTTGGGCTTGAGAATTATATCTAATTCCTGACGGGGCCTAGCTCTCAAAAGCATTTGCCTCCCTTTGATTGCTCGACACCGACGTCGCACACCTCCCATCAACAAGTTCAAAATCCTTTGCCGCTTCTCCTGCACGAGGAGCGAACGCAGCTTTGACGACTCTGGGAAGGAGTCAAAGAGTGAACTGAAGGTATTTCCAACGCATCTTTAGCGGAGATCTACTTTTCTATCTATTCGGGGATCTCTCTCTGTCTCTGTATCAATAGCGGCTGCGAGTCAGAATCACACATCCCGGAGATTATGCCCAAACATCTCCATTTGATTCCGTTTGAACATTTGGGAGAACATGGGAGAACTTTTTTGAATTAAGACTTAAGAGTCGGCGTGAATTAGGTCACTGGGGAAAGGATAATAACACGATCGCCATCTATGACCATTGAGACGTCAATTGTTGCTTTGATATTTTTGGGTCGCTGTTCTTGCAACCGGCTGGGCCGACCCATCTTTGGGCACACCGGCACACGCGCCAGACGCACCTCACCTCTTTTCAGCAGGAAGCCAAGGCATCAAAATCAAAGTGAAAGCGATCCCGCACGAGTCCGGCGGCGAAGTCGCCGAGCGTCGCCAAGGGCTTCGAAGAGGAGGCCTTCTTCTTCTTCTTCACCGCAGGGAATTGCGGGAGTGGAGTACAATGATGGTAATACCTGCACAGTGCTCCCTCCACGCGTCTCAGAGATTTCTCCACGTCCTCCATGCAGAACATCACTTCCTGGCTCTCGTGGCCGAGTGGCCGATGGAGCGCTGGACGCACGTGATCCAAGTCGCTCGCTTCGAAGAGGGATGAGCTCGAGGCATTGCGACTCAAAATCAATCGAAGCCAGGTCTCGAAACTCGGCTCTGGCAGCAACTGCCCCTTCCGTGGAAACCAATAGCCCTCAAAGAAGCTCCACATCCGTGCCACGGGATCGCGCAGAAAGATCACCCGCAGTCGCCCAGAAGCTCTGCGACAGCAGCTGGGGCACAGAGCCATGGGCAAACCGATCTGGCCCTGGTCCAGCATGCCGACGCCTCGTGAGATGGAGAAGAAGGCCAAGTCTCCACCACAGCCCAAACGGGTCTCCTCATGCTCCAGCCACTCCCAGGCCTTGTCTGGCGAAGGCCGAAGCCGAGGCAAAACGCAATCGTACAGAACAAGCACATCTGGGTCAAACATGGAGGCATTCCCACAAAGGCATTCCGTGTTTTTCCTTGCAGTACTTGTCGTCACGTGCACCTGGGATAAAAAGATAAAACACCAGTTCCCAGTTCCCCCCTCAGAAAAAATCGACTCAAATGTGCGATGTGGGGCATATCGTGCCAGTTTGTTGCTTTCCTCGCTGAGCCCCAGCTGCACGGCCAAGGTTCGACGCACCGCAACGATGCCAGGCATCAGACCCTCCAGCATGGCGGCCCAGACGGTGGCCGAGCGGCTCCCAGCCTTGAGGGTCAACTGGAGTGCCAAGGGCAGCCCAGGGGGGGCAATAGAACTGGCCAGAGCGCTCACAGGCCTCGCAAGTAAATGGAGGAGGTATGAGCTGAAAACGGATGAATCACAAAAAAGGTCTATATGGATCATGAGGATACTTTGCCAAATTATGTAAAATTATGCAAATATATTAAAATGTGAACTCCCCGCGGGTTCGCAAAAGCAGGGGGCGTTCCCACAAATTCCCCAGAAGTCCAGGCCAGGAAGCTGGTGCATACAAGAAGTTGGAATCTCCAAAATCATAGGGAAGTCCCAGGAAGACCTGGCACCGAGGCAGGGCGTATTTGCTCCACTCATCGCACTTCTCTCCCAAACACACGTCTGCCACTGCTCGGTGCGCGTCGGCCGCGCATTCGAAGCGGAGGGACTGAAACGCTTGGTCTCGCAACTGCAGCGGTCCGAACAAGCGTTGGAACTCGATCTCCGCCACCTCCGCCGGCACCACGCCGTCCTCTCGACTCACGGTACCCAGCTCCGCCAGGATCGTCGCAGCTCCGCCGGGGCAGAGCTCCCGGGGCGCGAAGCTGGACAACGCCGGGAGCGGTCCAGCCCCACTGGGCAGGTAAGGGTGCGTCACGCGGACGGCACCTGGAGATCGATCACCGAGGCGCACACAGGTGCCTGAACAGCGCTGTACTAAACAGCGCTCGTCTCCCATGTGAAAGGCGATCCACGCGGTGTCTCCCAAAAGCCCACTACCACTCAAGTTGGTCCGCCAGGCGTTGGCTTCTGCGGCACAACCCTCCAGCGGCTGCTGTGTTAAACCCACCTCTCCCAAATCTTCACATGTGCAGCGCTCGTGCAGTTCTTCAGGGTGCTCATCGCTGATCCAAGTCCAATTCAAGCATCGCACCTGGGATCTGGCATGTCCACACTGACAGGTGTTCCTAAATCCTAATATATATACTTTAAATAGTTCGACATCTTGTGTGCCTCTATGTGTTAAAACATGATAAAATATGTAAACATGTCGTGTGTACTGTGTTGCTGTGTACGTCTGTGTGTGTGTGTGTCAATTTTCCCACACAATCTGATCCCTCAAGCGGCGGAACGCCCATCCCTTCCGGCGGCTCGTCGCATGTGTAGCGGTCCCGGTCGTTGGGCGCCGAATCCCTTCGCCGGGTGACCCAGGGTGATCCACCCACCAGGCTTGCCAGCAGCGTGAGGATCTTCAGCATGCAACGAGGTGATCTCAACAAAAACCATCACGTGATTGGTTCAGGTGAGCTATTACATGTCTAATGTGTGCTATACCTTCGTTTTTTGGGGAGGCCACCCTGGCGGCCACCCCCACGCCCAACAAATGCTGCTTGGATCATGCTGTCTCTAGTGGCCTCGCTTTTTCTCCCCAAACGACCCGACTCTAAGGATCTTCTCACAAGCCAAGGGTTCCATTTCTTGATCCTACAGACGCCTCCTTCCGAGCCGATCAAGAAGGGCAACCTGATCCCAGTTTCGTCCAGTCCCCGACTTCCTCTCCACTCGAGATGAAAGACTTCAAATGGGGTCGCCCAAATCAGACTCAAGTGACATCCAGACGGTTCCCACTACGGTTCCCCTGCAACCGTTTGCCATCTGTTCCAATGCTATCAAAGCTTCAGTCAGGTTCAGTGCCGTTCTAAGAGATTCGCTCCATACCGACCGACCTTAGTGGAATCAACTGATGGGTCGGTCCGTGAGTTGACCCTGGACTTGTCAAAGACCATGGCCTCGCTACATCTGCGCGCGACCACTCCAATCCGGTTCTCTCGCATCGACCGGTTTTTCCCCCCTCCGGCACCCGAAGAGTCAAGCCATCCAATCACCCGCGCCTACGATGCGTTTCATGGAGGTTCCAGATCATGGCGGCGCCTACGATCTAGTCGGCTCCTGCTGATAGACTCAGGAAAGAGAACCCCAAAAAAAAACCAACAGCTTCAATTGTACGGCCCTTTCAGGTGGCTGAAGCTTCCCCCAATGCCAGCCCACCCCCTTCCCCATCAACACCAAAAAAGCTCGTTCATATCATATCCCTTCATATCCCTCCTCCAGCAACCTAAAAAAGGAGGGTCCAAAATCACCCTGGAAGATTGAACCATGGAACCTGAACATGGACCAGACTGGAAGACCCTCTTCCTTGACCCTCTTCCATGGTCCGCCTCGTGGGTCAGCTCCGTGGGTCTGGATGTGGGTACCTTCTCCCACCTTCCGCACCCACCCAGGTCCCGACCTCTTCAGGGTCCACCGCATCGGGACCCACGCCTTCTCGGTCCTCAAACGAACACCGATGGAGAGCCGAGGTTGGTGTGGCTGGGCCGAGGAGAAGAACACGAGGCCCTTCTTCCACCCTTGCCGGCTTTGGGGGATCGGCCCCCAATCCGTGGATCTGGGCCTTTCGATGGGAAAAATGCCAGGAAAACACCATGTGATCAAGAATCAGGGATGACAAAGCAGCAAAGTAAATGACAGGGGTCACATGACTAGTCACCTAGAGAAGACCAGCCCTTAGGAGACCGGCATCTCTTGGTCATGTCAGGTCAAACGACAGTCTTATCACCAGACCGGTGTCTCATGGTGCTTCTGATCGATCTGCCAAGCGGCCATCTTCTCCCTCTGCTTCCTCATGGCTGCCCTGGCGGAGGTGCGACGAGTGTGACACTCCCCGAGAACTCGGGGATCCGATAGCAGCTGAGCAGGCAAGAGTTGACGGACTCGGAATTTTCAGGACAAATCCACTGAAATGCTTCAGGCACCAAAGTTTTGAGAACACACGCGACGGGACCGACCTCTTAAGGACTTCTTCCTGGCGTTTCTTGGCCTTGCAACGAGCTCGTGCACGCGGGAAGCGACGGGACGTATCAACAGATTGTACAGGAGCTCGTGCATGAGCTCGTGCACGTTCTCTGCGTCTTTTTGTTCCCCTTGCGTGGCTCTAGACGCAGGCCAAAACCCGTACCCTGAAGCAATACAAAAAGCTAGTAGGATGGAGGCCATTGCTACTAGGGTGGAGGCCATCGCAACTAGTAGCAAGAAACTTTTGTGTTGGAGGCCATCGCTGTAGCAAGAAGCTGACTTGAAGCGTGAGAAAGCAGACCCAGGCCCGGACCCTGGCATCGGCTTCCGCCGCCAGAGCGGCCTCAGTCGGGCAGAGGCCGCTGGGTCGGAGAGTGGTGCCTGGAGTGGATGTGATCCGCTCTGCATGGGTTGGGTCTTGGCCAGTCTTGGACGGTGCGGCCGGTCTTGGACGGTGGAGCTCGAGGTTGGCAGTTGGGGGTGGAGCCCGAGGTTGGCGCTCTGGACGTCGAATGAAGTCGATACGGTGCGCGTTAAGACCTGTTTGGCCAAGGGCACTCCATTTTTGGGATGAAGCATGACACGAGAGCTGAAGAGGAACAAGGCGGAACTAAAATTGTTCCTAAAACAACCATCTTGATTGCCAAGGATAGGGCCTTCTTCAAAGCCACCAGGGATCAGTGTTCTCTTGCTTGATTCAACCAAGGATCTCTGGCGGTGGTTCTGACCTCCAAATCCAGCTTTTTGACTCAAGTTCCCACTGCATCGCCACCGCTTCTCCAGCCCCGACACGACCTGCCCTTGCACCCACACCGACGTTTCGGCATGTTTCGGCCACCGGTCTGGGCTCCACGACATCGGTCTTCGTTCGGGTGATCAGACCCTTGTACTTCCCACCTGGCAGAAGAAACCCGGCGCTGGGAGCTTCCTTGTTGGGCGGTATCCACTGGTTCGTCTTCGGGGCCCGGTGTTGGGGTCGACCGTGCTTTTGGTCAAAAGTGTCCGAAACGAAACGATCGTGGGGTGCGGGTGTCCTGGCAGGTGGATACAAGTAATTAGGCGAATGCCACTATTCTTAGATAGATATAATATATATATATAACGACGGCAGACTAGATAGACATATTTTTGACTCGGGGCAACGTTGATTTTTTGACTTGATTTTTTTTTACTTGCTTGAGTATTTCTATCTTTGGGACGCGTGTGATTTACAGTGTTTTGAGAAATGTATGTTTTTTATCTTGATTTTGTTTGTATTTACAGCACTTTGGGTACGTGGTGTTGATTTTCACTGGTATTTACAGCACTTTGGGCACGTGGTGTTGATTTCCACTGGTATTTACAGCACTTTGGGCACTTGGTGTTGGTTTTCCACTGGTATTTGCACCCGATTAACATGAAATCAACCTCGATTAAAATGAATCATATGAGATCTACTTCATCCTTGATGCCACCAAACGGTCCCTGGAATGTCCTATAGACCCGGATGTCCAAAGAGCGGGCACAGGAGCACCTCTGGCATCGTAATGTCGGAGACGTCTATGTCCGCGACATCCAATGTCCGAGACCTCTATGTCCGAGACCTATCTGTCCAAGACCTGTGTGTCCGGGACCTCTGTCCAAGACCTGTGTGTCCGAGACCTCTGTCCAAGACCTGTGTGTCCGAGAAGACTGTCCGAGACCTCTGTTTCAAAAAACCTCTGTTTCCAAAACATCTGTGTCCGAGAGGGCAACATCCTTCTCGAAATTTGACCCCTGCATGGCCCGCAAAAGGGTGAGTCAACTTTGCATGGCCACTTCTTTCTCTAAACTTTTCTCCTTAGAGAATTTCACCCCTGCATTGCCCCCACAAAGGGGTGAGTCAAGTTGAAATGGCAACATCCCAACATCCTTTTGACAAACTTTACACCTGCATTGCCGACAAAAGGGTTAGTGAGCTTGGAATGGTCACTTCCTTCTCTAAATTTTACCCTCAAGTGGCTCACCAAAGGGTGAGTCAACTTGGGAGGGCAACATCCTGAAACTAAAATTTACCCCTGCATTGCCCAGAAAAGGGTGAGTCAAGTTGAAATGGCAACATCCTTCTCTAAATTTCACCCTCGGGTGGCTCACCAAAGGGTGAGTCAACTTGGCAGGGCGCGGCAACACCCTTCTCTAAATTTTTTACCTGCGTTGCCCACAAATGGGTGAGTCAACTTGGAAGGGCAACATCCTTCTCTAAATTTTACCTCTGCATTGCCCAAAGGGTGAGTCAACTTGAAGCGGCAACATCCTTCTCTAAATTTTACCCTCGGGTGGCTCACAAAAGTATGCACCATTGGATTGGCAGCTCTCTCCTCTAAAGTTTACCCTCGGGTGGCTCACAAAACGAACTATGGTGAGTCCAACAATGTGGAATCTAGATGAACTAAAAAAAACATGAACAGTTTTTCAATCCAAAAGGGGTGGGTCCATGGCATGCGATCTGGTCCCTGTCTCGGTGATCCTTCGACCAGGCCACATTGCCACATCGCCCGAACCACAAAACATCGCCAAAACCGATTTTGGAGGCCAAGAACAGTGGAGCCTTTTGGATCCCTTTGCGGATGCAAGCGGAAGAAACCGCTTCAAAACAAGATTCCGAAGGCTTGACAGAAGATCTTGTAAAATACATATAATATACAAGTAGTTCCCGGGCAAGCCGGCGGCGGAAGTTTCCAAAAAAATAAACCTATAGGGAATGGGCATGTGGCAGGCTGATTCGCCGAGCTGCGATGTTCATTGACAAAACAAGTTGGAACCGACCAATGGAGCGAAAGCGCAGCAACCACCGTCAACTGTCTCGCAGGAAAAAAGACGTTGTTCATGCATTTTGCAAAATACAGAGTAGAGATGACTCAGCCGCGTACTAGAGTTGTACTACAAAGTCGCCAGTTCTCAGCTTCCAGCTCCACGGCTTGCTCCGCGTACTAAAGTTGTACTAGAAAGTCGCCAGTTCTCAGCTTCCAGCTCCCCAGATACTCCGCGTACTAAAGTTGTACTAGAAGGTCGCCAGTTCTCATCTTCCAGCTTCCCAGATACTCCGCATACTACAGTTGTACTACAAAGTCGCCAGTTCCACTACACATGGAGGTTCACAAAGTGCTGCACCTGCCACGAAATCTGCACATGGAGATTCACAAAGTGCTGTGCCTGCCACGAAATCTGCACATGGAGGTTCACAAAGTGCTGCACCTGCCACGAAATCTGCACATGGAGGTTCACAAAGTGCTGTGCTTGCCACGAAATCTGCACATGGAGGTCACAAAGTGCTGTGCCTGCCACGAAATCTGCACATGGAGGTTCACAAAGTACTGCGCCTGCCACGAAATCTGCACATGAAGGTTCACAAAGTGCTGCGCCTGCCACGAAATCTGCACATCAAGCGCCGGTGCCCAGCCGACGCCAGGGCGTACATCCGACCCCTCGGCAAGCAGCAAGCGCCGCACACAGTGCACATGGAGGTTCACAAAGCGCTGCGCCTGGCACGAAATCTGCACTTAGACAATCCAACGGTGTCCCAGGTACATCGTTCCCCACCAAAGGCAACATACGTCTCCATTT